TTTTATATAGTTATCTTCTTTTATTGTTGAGCAACTGGCCGATAAATATATACCCAAATATTTAACCTTTTTCACTATCTGTACCTCTATTTTTTCTAACATTTGTTTTTTCTGTTTGTCTGTAAGATTCTTAACTATTACTTTGGTTTTTTCTCTATTTATTTTTAATCCCGCCCTGAGTCCGCAAGGAGAAGGGCGGGATATAAATGTAATTAAATAAAATAAATAAATAAATAAAATCCCGCCATTTCTCCATACTGTTCTATCTTTCCCCATAATTTAGGGATCATCTCCAAAGGTTCTTCTAAGATAAATACTAGATCATCAGTGAATGTTTGTAATTTATATATTTCGCCTTTTATCTCCAGCCCTTTAATTTCTGTGTATTGTCTAATATTTCTATTTAAAACTTCCAAAGTAAAAATGAATAGCAATGGGGATAGTGGACAACCTTGTCTTGTGCCTTTTTCTTATCTCAAAGCTCTCAGTACAGTCTCCATTCACAATCACTTTGGCTGACTGCTTGTTATATATTGTTTTTATCATATTTATAAAGTTCTGTCCCAAGTCCATCATTTGTAGTTGCTGGGTCATAAATTGCCAGGAAGCATTGTCAAATGCCTTTTGGGCATCTAAGAACATTAATGCCAACTGTTTCCCTGGGTGTAATTCATAGTATTCTAGTACGTCTATTATCACTCTTAAGTTGTTTTTAATTTGTCTTTTTGGTAAAAAGCTGTTTTGATCTGGATGTATAAATTCGACTAAGTATTTTTTCAGTCTCTCTGCCATTATTGAAATAAAAATTTTGTAATCCACATTAAGCAATGAAATTGGTTATAATTCTTAATCTGCGTCAAATCTGAATCTTCTTTTGGTATTACAATAATATTGGCTTCCATCAATGTAGATGGGAGTTTAGCCTCTAATAAAAGTCCATTACAAACATCTTTCAGTGGTTCATTTAGTATGTCTTGTAAATTTTTATATAGCTTTGCCGGAAGCCCATCTGGACCCGGTGTTTTCCCATTTTTTGTCTTTTTATGGCCTCTGATATTTCCATCATTGCAATCCTAACATAGTTTTAAATGTCTCTGGAATTTTTGGAAGATTACTTTCTTCCAGGTATTGAACAATTCTCTCTCTTGAAGTTTCCTCTTTCTTGTACAGTTCCTTGTAATATTCCTTAATTATCTTTTTTAAATTGTAAATAGACTTTCTCATCTACTAAGTTATGTATCATTTTCTTCTCTTTCTGGTTTTTTTATTTTATAAGCTAACCATCTTCCTGGTTTATTGGCATTCTCAAAAAAGTTCTGTTTTGCTCTCTTTATCTGTTCTGCCATTTTTTCTGAATCCAACAGATTTAATTTATGTTTTATTATGTCCATTTCTCTTTTCAAAGTCTTTTTCTGTGGATTTTTTTGTAATTCTGATTCTAACTTTCCAAATTTTCCTTTTAATAGTACATATTGCTGTCTTCTGTGTTTATTATTCATTGCCATATATGTTATAGCTATGCCTCTAAAGAATGCTTTAGCTGTATCCCATACATTTTGTGATGTTGTATCTTCTTTTTTATTTTCTTTAAAGAAAAATTCCATTTTTTTCGCTAGCTCTAAAAATTTGCTTTCTTTTAGTATAGATTGATTTAAAGTTTATCTTTGTCTTTTTTATATTCCTTTCCATATCACTTTCAGAGGGTTATGGTCTGCCCATGTGCCCATTTCTATCTCAATTTCCTGTATATTCATCCTCAATTCAGACGTCATCCAAATCATATCAATTCTTTTTGGCTGTTTGAGTAAAAAGTATATTTTTGTGGGTTGATTTCCCTCCAGATACCTTGTATTCCAATTTCCTCTGCCATATCAAAGAATGTCCTGGGTAATCTTCTTCTTCTGTTTTTTTCTGTTTTATTGCTTTTATGATCTATTGTTCCGTCTGTTACTGCATTAAAATCTCCTACTAGACAGATATTTTGGTACTCCATTTCTATTATCTTTCTATGTAGGCTTTGATAAAATTCTTCTTGATTGTTATTTGGTGCGTAAATTGCCACTAACAATGTTTGCTTTTGGTGTAAATATATTTCTACCATTACAATTCTTCCTTCTTTATCTGAATATATCAATTTAGAATCTATTTTTTTTTATGTATACAGCAACCCCTCTTTTTTCTGATGTGCTGATGTGTAATAAAGTTTCCCAATTTTTGAATGTTCCAATAATTTATGGTGCTGCTCTTTTATATGTGTCTCTTGCAAACAAATCATGTCTATGTTTAATTTCTGTAATTTCCTAAAATTTTTGTTTCTTTTTGATGGGGAGTTTAGTCCATTTACATTAACTGAAAAAAATCCATTTTCTTTCTCCATTTCCATTTCCATTATTTATATTTAGGTCAAGTCGATCTCGTAATCCTCTGTTCTTTGGCAGTTCCTTCATCTTCACCCATTAGTTCATCTTTCTCTTTTGGTTCTCCTGTTTGTGCATTTTCTCCTTGAGTCGTTTCTTCCATTTGCTTCTGCTCCTTACTCTCTCCTTGTCGTTGTGGCACTCCTTCATCTAAAATTGCTCTATTCCATGCTTCAAAGTCCTCTGCTTTCCAGATTGAATTGAATTATTATTCCAATTTATTAGAATGCCTTCCGGCATTAGCGATCTGAAGTTTATGCCTTTGGCAATCAGCTTTGTAGTTAAGAAGTGGTAGTGTCTTTGAGTATCTCTTACTCTCTTGGGTATCTGCTTTAAAATCACAATTTCTTTGTTTTTATATTGTAATGGCTCATCTCTCAGTTTTCTCAGTACTTCATCCCCTGCTGTTTTCTTTATAAACCTTACATGTACTTCTCTTGGTAGTCTATTTTTCCTTGCATAGCTTGAGTTCATGCAAAATATTTCATCAATCTCCATTTGGATCTCCACTCTATCTGCCTTCAGAGCCTCTGCCAGAAGATCAACGATCACGACTGTTATGTTTTCTTCTCCATCCTCAGGGATATTTTGAAATCTCAGGTAGTGTTCCGCTTTCTCCATTTCTAGAATCTTGACTGCCCCCTCTAGGTCTTGCTTTGCTTGTTCTAATTTTTTCATTTTTTTATAATAACATTTCCATCTTTTTATCAATGTCCTCTGATTTATCTTTGATTTTCTGAATTCTTTGTTCATTTTTAATAATCATTTGATTTTGGACTTCAAATTGTGCCTTTATATCCAGGATTTCTTCGCTTACTTTTTCAAGTTTACTTTGTGTCTCTTCATGATTTTTTTGCATCATCTCTTAAATCAGTTTTAATGAAGCCTGCATTTCATTTTGGGCAGTACTTATTTTCTCATGTTGCAGCATTGTTTCAATAAATCCCTGGGTTGTTGGACTGGATTGTCTCACAAAGGGCGCAGAAGAAGTTTTCTTCATAAGTCTAGTAATGTTTGATGTACTCATTTTATAGCTCCCAGTCTTAAACCAAGGTCCAAAATGCAAAAGGGAGCCAGCTGTTTTAGGCCAAATCCACCTCCCCCACTCAGGTCTTAGTTATAAAGCATTCACTTTCTTCAAATAATATCTGTTTAGTTTTAGCCCAAGTCAACAAATATAACTATGAGAAGTCTTCTTCCTTATAATCTCACGCCAAGGCACTTTGATGTTTGCAGGTGTCTCTCAAGGTCATTATTGTGAAAGCATTTTTTCCACTGATTATTAGTGCTGTTGTTTCTTCTTTTGCCACTATATGTCCTCCTCGGCTTATTTATCAATGTCCGATACTCTTTAAAGCATTTCCCCCTTTTGTAATTGCTCGCCACCTTTAAATTAATCCTTCTGGGGGTCTTTTCTTTTCAGCTTTTTCCCATCATGGACTCAACGTTTTATAATCTTCAAGGAGAAGGAAAAGATTCTAGCTCACGCAGTCTCAGCATGCTGTTGACAGTCAGCTGTTTTGCGGAGATTTCCTTCCAGCTGGAGATGATGTGGGCTGCCTCGGCTCACCCGGCAGTCTTTCTTCCACCTTTTCAGAGGGGTTCTTCAGTTCGCTCGGATTGGCCGCTGCCTGATCTGAGCTCCTGGAGTGTCCCTCCTTCTTTGTTACCCCTCAGCAACTTTCCGACCCTTTAAGGGTCACTGGGCGAAGCGAAACCGGACTGGAAAGCCGAAGCTTCCATCCGTCCCATCGGTGACCAAACCAGAAAACCCAGAGTTGGATAGTAGGATTGTTTAGGAGCCTCTCTTGCAATTTAGTGAAGGAATACTTTTGGGAAGCGAGGGGAGCAGGTCGGTGGTGTGCCAAGCTCTCCAGCTCTGCAGCAACACAATTTGTGAAACCTGGGTGGGTTCGGCACTCCAGCAAGTGGTGGGGCGGGGCTGCACCTGCTTGTGTGAGAGGCTGGGGCTTGGCATAGAGGGGGAGAGACCATTCTGGCACTTCTCCACATAGCTGGACAAGGGCTGTGGCACTCAAGATCATGCAGGAGGTGAGCATGGGAAGTGCAGGGCTTTCAAATGGGGCATCAAAGGTAAAATAGTGGTTGGTGAAGGGATGGGGAGGAAAGGCTCAAGCAGCTTGGGACTCCAAGGGGTGGAAGGAGGAGCATGGGGTTTGTCAATGGGTGGGTGGAAGCCTTTGGTGACTGGACACAGTGGTCTTGTCCTGCACTAGGCCCCCCTGGCCTTCCTTAGATATCTTGTGTGCACTTAACAATCTGCACATTTGATTAGTGAATGTGTGAGCCAAAGCAGGGAGTGATCACATTCAAGTTACGCCACTCACACCTACAAATTCTCAGGTTACAAGTGTAATTGGCAAGCTCCATTATATTCGTAACTCAAGGGCTACCTGTAGTTTTTCTATATATGAATCACAGCCCAAGCCACTGAAGAACAATCCCGTATTTCCAAATAACTCAAAATCTACTTGATAATACAACATGAAGAACCTTCCATGATATTCAGTTAAAACTCATCCCTTAATTGATACATAAAGAAGAAAATACATATATACATACTGTGAAGATTTCACATAATGTGGCATTGTAGTATGAACTTTGTTATAGGTAATTAAGTCAACATAGGGGTTGTCTAGATCCTCAAAATTCTCTGAACCAATACAGCCTCTGTTTGGATAAGAACATGAAAAAATAAGGCATATTAATCTAACTAAATTGTCCAAAAGCAATTATTTCCAGGATGAACAGAAAACTCAGCAGTGCTTATAATAAACCCTCACAAAATATTTTTGGAACATATTTTAGGGAAGCTTAAAAAAAGAAATGGTTGAATTAATTCCCTGCAAAGCCTTTATATTCAGGCTTGAGAAACTGACAGATTATATCAAGCCAACATAACTGGTGACCTATCATGCCTACAAGTTATTAAGCTATTCTTTGTCACATGGATATAGACATTTTGGCTGACCATGATTTTCTTTTGGATTTTATCATTAATAGAGAATTCAGAAAAAGGGCATGATCCTTTATGGGGCTCATTAAGTTCCTCAAATGTCATAGTCTTTGAGGCAACTTTAAGTCTTTGCAGCAATTTCATAAACTGAGTTTTAGACAATCTGATGAAAGGATTAACATTAACAGCCGATTCTTTACTGAGTCATTCATTACCAATCATTTCCTTTCTTATTCCATAGCTCCTCTGTCGATGGTCAAGTCATGAGCATATTTACAATAAATAAGAATTTCCAACGTGAATAAAAAGAATATAAGTCCTAAAAGTCCAACTTCCTATCATTTACAATAGTTATTTAATGCTTTCAGCAAGTTATGCTCTTTTGTAGTTTAATATGAATAGCTGATTATTGTACTGTATTGTATTGTATAGTTATATTCAAATATATACAATTTATATTTTATATTTACAGCATAGTGCCTCTTAATTTGAGTTTATCAAATAGCTATCTATTTTTCATGAAAGTGTTTTAATTTTTTTAATTTTTACATGACATATTAAACAAATATTTACCACTATATCTTGCTCAGATGAATTCATGCATACACACACATATACATACATACACAGATTTATACATATATATGTAAATGTCTAATTTTCTATTGAAGCTCAAAATTACATATTGAAAGAGAAACTATAACTTACGTGTATGAAGGGAGATGCTGAGTTCGAGAATTTGGGCTAACACTGTCAAAGATTAAACATATCTTAAATTATTTAAATTTACTATTAATATAAAAGTGTGTACTATGAAATGTAACTATTAAGGCCCAATTATATATTACACAGATTAAGCAAAGAGTAATACCCTTCATACAGACACTTCTAGCAATGCCCAAACATCCTCTTCTATCCCGAGACTCTGTTGCATCCATATATTTAGCATATTTTGGTGCCCACCAGTTTTTTTCCAGAAATTACAGCATTACAACCATTTGTCCAGGATGACATAAGGTCACTTGTTTTGAGCAGGGGATTGGAGTACAAGACTTCTAAGATCCCTTCCAGCTCTGTGGTTTTATGATTATATCTATTGCTTTCCAACTTCTGCTGGCACAACCAGCACTCTACATTCTGATTGCTGAACTATATTTATTGGCTGTTATACACTATGAGGAAGAGGAGGTATCCACTCTTCCCTCCAGACACAGGCTGCTGCTCTCTACATTTATTTTATCCTTGGTTATTGAGTTATCTGTTTCCCTAGTGGAGTAGAGGAACACTGGAACTTTTGTTTAATTGATTCACTGGTGGGCTTTCTTTCTTACAAGTTCATCAGAAAAATACAGATAATCATCGATTTATGACCACAATTGAGCCCCAAATTTCTGTGACATATTTGTTAAGTGAATTTTGCCCCATTTTATAGAATAGAACTGGAAGGAACCTTGGAGGTCTACTAGTCCAGCCCCCTGTTCAAACAGGAGAACCTATACCATTTCAGACAAGTAACTGTCCAGCCTCTTCTTAAAAACCTCCAGTGATGGAGCGCCCACGATTTCTAAAGGCAAGCTGTTCCACTTGTTAATTGTCCTCACAGTTAGGAAGTTTCTAACTAAATTCCAGGTTGCTTCTCTCTTTGTTCAGTTTCCAACCATTGTTTCTTGTCCTGCCCTCTATTGCTTTGGAGAATAGTTTGATGGTCTCTTCTTTGTGGCAGCCCCTCAAACACTGGAATACTGCTATCATGTCACCCCTATTTCTTCTTTTCTTTAGACTAGCCAGACCCAAGTCCTGCAGCCGTTCTTCATATGTTTTAGTCTCCAGGCCTTTTACCATTTTAGTTGTTCTTCTCTGTACTTTTTCCAGGGTCTCAAAATGTTTTTTGTAGTATGGTGATCAAAATTGGTTGCAGTATTCCAGGTGTGGTCCCACTAGGGTTTTATAAAGCGGTACTAATACTTCATGTGATCTTGATTCTATGCCTCTGTTTATACAACCCAAGATTGTATTAGCTTTTTTGGTGGCTGTGCACACTGCTGGCTCATAGTCAAGTGATCATCCACTAGGACTCCAAGGTCCCTCTCACAGTTACTGTTTTTAAGCCAGGTCTCACCCAGTCGGTACTTATACTTTTAATATTTCCTGTCTAAATTTAAAACTTTGCTTTTTTCCAGGTTAAAATTCATTTTGTTGGATAGGCCGTATTGTTCAAGTTTGTAAGATCTTTTTGGATCTTGAGCTAGTCTCCTGGGATGGTGGCTATTCCTGCCGGTTTAGTATCATCTGCAAATGTGATCAGTTTCCCTTCTATTCCCTCACCTAAGTCATTTATGAAGATATTAAAGAGTACTGGGCCTAAGATGGAGCCTTGTGGTATTCCACTGCTTACTTCATGTTTCTTGCCACAGTTGTTAAGTGAATCATTCAGTGGTTAAATTAGTGACATGGTTGTTAAGTGAATCTGGCTTCCCCATTGACTTTGCTTGTCAGAAGGTCACAAAAGATATTCACATGAGCTTGCAACCGTCATAAATATGAGTCAATTGCCAAGCATCTGAATTTTGATCACGTGACCATGGGGATGCTGCAACAGTCATAAGTATGAAAAATAGTTATAAGTCACTTTTTTCAGTTTTGTTGTAACTTTGAATGGTCACTAAACAAACTGTTGTAAGGCAAGGACTACCTGTTGAAAAAATATTGACTTTTCTCTTCTTTTTTTAACCAACTGAAATAGAAATAATCTGCCACTTTCCCCAACTCTATAGTAGGGAGAACAGTAAAATAGTTGTTTTTGTTATTTATTCTCATTGGTCTGTTGATAAATAATATTCCCACATTTAGTCTAGACTAATTTACAAGACAAATTTTATTTTATTTTTATTTATTTTTTTGCATCAAAGCAGAACTGCAAGCAACAACTAATTTGATAATCTTTTCAGAAAGGGAAAAAATTGCTACAAGGGAGCAGCTGGTTGGGGAATCTGGAGATGAAAGACAACTGTGATGTCATGTAGTATTTTGCACTTCCTGCATTAAGCATCAACCATTCCAGTAACCAATAATCTGCAGAACTCAGGATAATCATTGGTAGATGAACTTGTGGGCACTTATGTATATTATATGCCAAGCTCACCAACAAAAATGCCAGCAGAAGAGGCACTGAAGGCATTAAAATAAACAGGAGACTTCATTACTGACTTCCTTTTGAACAATTTGCATCCATCCATCAGTCCATTCCAGTCATGGGTTTGCCAAGTTCACCAACAAAAATGCCAGTAGAAGAGCCACTGAAGCCATTAAAATAAACAGTAGACTATTGAGCTGTGATGACTTATTTCTGACTTCCTAAAGTCCTTAATATATTAGGGATTTTTTTAAAATGTCAACTTTCTAAAGTTAAAAGATATACCTTACAGTTAAAACTTTAATCTTCTCGTTATAAAAAGCATCTCATTACATAAAGCAAACATATACAATAACTGTAATGCCAAATAATAAAAAATGGAACTCACAAATTTATTGGCCTGTATGGTACTGTAAATATTCTCTTTTGAAATCTGTCCCAGAGACCTCCAACAACCTAGCATGATAATTAAAATGTGTGTGTAGGGGAGGTAAATGTGATCTGGTATATTACAATTATCATTACTATTTTTACTGCATCATTGCATTTTTCATCCCAGCAAAATACTTTATAAACAATAGCTCATTTCCTTCAGGCTCAAGTTACCAGACCAGCAGGTGAAAAAAAAACAACTGCATGTATTGCACATAATTTGTGCATACTTTTCCAAACAGAATCAAAATATCATAAAATAGGTACAATCAGTAAAACAGAAAAGCAGAATGAATATATTTTAAGGAGTCCTTAAAATTGTAGGCCATAATTTTAGTCGTATGATCCTGAGGAGTCACTGAGGAGCTAACACATATCTTAGCAACAGCACTTTGACTTATATACTGCCCAATGTGCTTCACAGCACTCTCTGAGTGGTTTACAATTTTAGCATATTTCCCCCAAGACTCTATGTCCTTAATTTACCAATCTTGGAAGTATGGAAGGCTGAATCAACCTCAACCACCATCAGGATTGAACTCCAGGCTATGGGCAGAGTTTGTCTGCAATACCACATTTAACCACTGTGTCACCAAAGCTCTTAATTCTAATATAAAATCCCCTCCATGGAGTAAAGCCACTGGTCATGCTGGAACCAAAGGCAGAGAAGGAGAGATCTTTTTCTACAAGTTGAGCAATCTCTACTTGAGAGTCTACTGCTTGTACTTGGGAGTCTTTAAAATTCACTGTAAACTTCCTATTAATTACCATCTACATTCCAGATTATTAGTTGAGCACAGAGAACTATAGCCAATCACCAGCTGATGGTTCTCCTTTAACAGCTAGTAAGGAATATCTTCTCCAGTTTCATTCTAAAGAAAATCCCTTCTCTCTCATAAATAAAAGAAAAATGACTATTGTTTGCATGGGGTATGATGCCAATAGACTTTGGCCTTAAGCTAACAAGACAGTATTTCTGTATTAATATCATGTCTGCCCTGTTTTCTTTCTTGCAGAATAGCTGAGGGGATGTAGGACCCTGACAGGGACTGAAAGCAGGTGTGTCCAACCCATGTCCTATGGGCTACATGACACCCTAGAACAGTGGTTCTCAACCTGTGGGTCGGGACCCCATTTGGGGTCGATCGACCATTTCATGGGGGTCGCCAAGCAAGGCTGTCCGCCATTTTTTTTGTCCGCCATTTTTTTTGTCCGCCATTTTTTTCCCCCTTTTCCGGCAGGTGCCTTACCTCCCTTGGGCTGGGCCAGCTGGTGGTCGGCCTGCTCCATCTCTGCCGCTTGCCAGCTACACCTCAGCCGGCGCAGGGGGCAGAACCACGCATGCGCGGCGCTCCCAGGCAGGGAAAGTCCTCGACTTATGACCGGTTGGGTAGTCCTCGACTTATACTGGTTTAGTCCTCAACTTACAACCAGTTTAGTCCTCGACTTACGACCGGTTTAGTCCTTGACTTACGACCGGTTGGGGTCACGGCATTAAAAAGGTTGAGAACCACTGCCCTAGAAGCTAGTAATATAACCCCATAAGATTATAAACTTTCAACTTTTCAACACTGCAGCATAAAACAATTTCACTTCACTCAATGAAATCCAGAGAAGCCAAAAGGTTGGATACTCATAGGCTAAACAAAAACCTGGTTATTTATTTTGATTGAGGCTTCAGTTCAAGGAAGAGATGATCAAGCAGAATAAATATCTATGAGCTCCTTTCCTAGTCTTGCCATCATATTCCAGGAACCTAAAGGGGTCAGGGCTGGAGCAAGCTAGATATTGTTTCTCATCATAGCTAAAGATACAAGGGACTCAACCTGAAGTTATTTGGGATAGTAAAGGATATGATCTACCACTGCACTTTAATCCTGTGTTTGCTTATCCCACATAATCATAATGAAATAGACTTCACAGACTTGGCTTATTTCTTCTGCTGGTTCATATCGTTTGCTTGTAGAAATATCCACCATGGGTTGTAATGTTGAATGTGCAGGCCAGACTTTGGGAGATAACATATTATCCCAGGGAACTTCTTCATATCCTCTAGAACGCTCATTAAAAGAAAAGAAAAATGATTTTTATTATAGCTAATTTATAAAGCAATCAAAGTCATTCAAATAAATAACCAGAAAGAGAATTTTGTCTAGATAAAATAGGTAGGTTTTATGGGGAGGGAGTATAACTGGCTGGAGGGAGAAATAGAAAGCTGATATTTAAGAATGATAGAAAGCCAAGAGTAAGTTGGAGTAGGAAAACTGACTTTGGGCCAGACACTCTCTTCACAGGGTTGTTGTGGGAAACTGAAGAAGGAGTATTATCTATGTTTGCTACCTTGTGTTCCTTTTAAAGGAGGGATAAAAATCAAATAAATAACAAGAACAACAATTGGTGGGATCATAAAATAGAGAAAGTAATTGAAAATGAAGAAACTAAAATACTCTGGAACTTTAATTCAAACCAACGTGAACTTGTCACATAACATTCTAAATTTAATAATTGTTGATAAGAAAGACAAAAAAGTCTGGCTAGCAGGTGGGACAGTGTCTGGAGACAGCAGAAAAGAAGAGAAAGGTCTGGAGAAGATAACAAATTACAAAGATCAGTAAATAGAAATAGAATGACTGTGGAAAAAGAAAGCAATAGTAATCACCAACAAAGATGATTAGGGGGCTGGAGACTAAGACCTAGAAGAATGATTGCAAGAATTGGATATGTCTAGTCTAGTGAAAATAAACACTAGGGATGATATGATAGCAGTGTTCCAGTATTTGAGGGGCTGTCACAAAGATGAAGGGGGCAAACTATTTACCAAAGCACCAGAAGGCAAAACAAGATCCAATTGATAGAAACTAATTAAGAAGAGAAGCAACCTAGAACTAAGAAGAAATTTCCAAACAGTGAGAACAATCAACCAGTGGAGTGCCTTGCCTTCAGAAGTTATGGGTGCTCCATCAATGGAGGTTTTCAAGAAGAGACTAGACAGCCATTATCTGAAATGGTATAGATTCTCCTGCTTGTGCAGGGAATTGGACTAGATGACCTTCAAGGTCCCTTCCAACTCTGTTATTCTATGTTCTAATAGGCACCTTGGGTGCAAACCCAAAACAACTGAGCACCACTTGAATGCTATTGGCATTGACAAAATCACCATCAGTTACTTGCAAAAAGCAGCTTTACTCAAAACAGCTTACATTCTGTAACAATACCACCAAACATCTACCTCTGCCTATTCTAAGTCCTTGGGAAGGACTCTATAGATGGATAAATAAGCCAAAATCAGTATGAATATCGAGCTGACTGCAATAAACCATAACAATTACTCTAAGATCAATTCCTATTCTATGATTCTCTTTTACCACTTAACCAGTATCTGTACTGGTGTAACTAATAAACACTGTACTTTAAGGAAATGTACTTGTATTATTAGCCTCATCAGGAAATATGATACATAGCATTTTGCCAGTGGATATGATCAGTAGCAGGAGGAATACATAATGAATACATAAACTCAGTTTAATTGCATTCTTCTTAAGAGAAACAGAAACTCACCTCTGGATTGTGGATGTATACATATACTTCTGAGCTCTCTTATCTCTGCAGGGTTCAGAAGAAGTATCACTTGACTTAATAAGAAAATACAAAATGAAACATATAGAAAATAATGCAGTGATTAGAATTCAGTTGAACATTTCCAAACTATTTTTCAAGCATGTATGAATATGATAACTTCCAATCCTGCTTTTGTGCTTTTGAAAAGGATAGATAAAAGTAACAAAGTTAATTTGAAGTGCTCAACTTGTCATATTTTAATTACCTCTTCATTAGCCAAGTCAGAACATTCCTTCATCTTCTAAATATAAAGGTAGTCCTTGAACTATGACAGGTCACTTAACAGCTGTTTGAAATTACAATAGCCCTCCCCCCAAAACCTACATATGATCCCGTTTCAAAGATAAGGTGGCTGCAGAACATCTGCAATCATTCATCCTTATGACAAACCATAGCAATGCTGCAGCACATTTCTCCCCACATCCTGTTCTTGCGGGACTCCATAGCACATGGCCCTGCTCACCATTACTCCTGAAAGCAGCCATCATTTTATGCATTTTGACAATTCCTTGCAGAAATGGCAGCTGCTTCTTAGCTTTCTGCCCTGGTCAGCTGGCTGTCAAGAGCTTGCAAACCACTCCTGGCTCTTGCTAGGTTTGGAGAAGCCAGCCCCCCAGAGGAAAAGGCAGCAACTTCAGGAGTTTCTCAAAACCTTTCTGTAAGGATCCACTCCACTTTACATCTTAAGAAGACAGAACTCTTGGAATATCTCTTCCAACAGGCATCTTTACTAAGAGAAAATGATTGCAGACATTCTAGACAGGATCTAAGGGATCAACCCCTACCATTCAATGTTTTAAGTGTTCCCAAGCAGCCCCCACCCCACAGTTCTTCCGGGCGGCGATCACTCATCCTCTCTTTTCCCAGATCCCAGGCGTTACATTGTTCCCCCCCTTTTCCCTCACTGCCGGCAAAAGGGAGACTTCAGAGAGAGAGTAGATGAAAGGCGATGGCCATATTGTTATGGTCAGTCCTCTTGATGAGAATCAACATCCAGTCACTTTGTAGTTTAAATGAAGGAAGTGAGAGTCATAAAACCGCCTTGCTTCCTCCTCCCCTTTCGTAGTATGACAGAATCCAGAGAGAGTAAGAAATAGGTTTTTTTTCAGAGTAGGTAGCTAGAAATGAAATATAATTGGATTCTGACACTTTCCCTTGCTTCATACCCTCCCTACCCCAGAAACCCACATTTTTTCAATAAAGAAAATAAAGGGGAAAAAAGCAGGGAAAGAGACAGACCTGTTGATCTTTCCCTTCCCATTAGAAGCTAATGATTAGATGCTGAAACTAAATTCTCTGCCTCTGCCCTCCAATTTTGATCCCTTTTAAAGACCTCTGCATGATTGGAAAAAGGGTGACAAAATCTGTAAGTTACTTACCTTGATGAGTGACTGCCAGGCTGAAGAGTAGAGGAAGGAAACAAGCAAAGCAAAAAGAATCTTTCTGCAACTTGTTTGCATTAAGGAGCTGAGGAAAAAATTCAGCTCAAAATGTTCAGCTAACTAGAGTACAACATGTGCAGCAAATGGCCAGGGCAGAAGCTGGGTCCTTGGAAAGTTTGTTGCTATGTGTCAGACTGCCTTTAGGACCCAGCTAGGATTGGAAATTGGAGACTAGAATGGTTTTTTGTTTCAGGGCAGTGTAGATATAATCTGATTTTGGAGGACATTAATATTAGTTTCTTGCTATAGATTACTTTCTGACCACTTTTTAGCTCACTGGTATTGCCCTACCTACCGCTATCTCACAGTGAGATCATGTTACCAGGTGATCAGACTGGTACCATGCCTGATAAATGATAGATATGGCTAGATTCAAGAAAAAGCTTGAGGTTTTCCACAAACTCTGTGGAGTGACTTAGTTGAGGCCTTAGTTGCTGCCTGGAATGAGCAAGTGGCAGGGTGAATAGAATAGAATAGAATAGAATAGAATAGAATAGAATAGAATAGAATAGAATAGAATAGAATAGAATAGAATATGGAAGGGGTCTTGGAGATCTTCTAGCCCAGCACCCCGCTCAAGCAGGAGAACCTATACCATCTCAGAGAAGTGACTGTCCAGTCTCTTGTTTAAAACCTCCAGTGATGGAGCGCCTACGATTTCTGAAGGCAAGCCGTTCCACTGGTTAATTGTCCTCACTGTTAGGAACAACTCCTTAATTCCAGGTTGCTTCTCTCTTTGATCAATTTTCAACCTTGTTTCTTATCCTGTCCTCTATTGCTTTGGAGAATAATTTGACCCCCTCTTCTTTGTGGCAGTCCCTCAAATACTGGAATACTGCTATCATGTCTCCCCTATTTCTTCTTTTCTTTAGACTAGCCAAACCCAAGTCCTGCCACTGTTCTCCATATGTTTTAGTATCCAGGCCTTGGATCATCTTAGTTGCTTTTCTCTGAATTTCCAAGATCTCAACATCTTTTTTGTAATATGGTGACCAGAATTGGTTGCAGTATTCCAGGTGTGGTCTCACTACGGTTTTATAAAGCGGTACTAATACTTCACGTGATCTGGATTCTATGCTTCTGTTTATACAGCCCAGGATTAGCTTTTTTGGCTGCTGCTGCTGCACATTGCTGGCTCATAGTCAATGTTAGAGAATTTTAATTTCTCTATTGGTGAAAAATAAATCAGAAGCTCTCACAGTTGACTGCATTTAGCTGATTCAAATAACGTCTTTATATTCATATCAAAATATTTACAATACCATACATTCTTCTTTACAGCAACATAGCACAATGAAGATTCTTTACAGAGAGATACAGAGACAGACCCAAGACTGACAAAAAATCCAGCTCCTAACTCAATACCTTTTTGCACAGACTCAGTAGCATTTTTCTCACATTGGCTGACTGAGTTACCACATGACTATTCCTGCTCATGAATATTCCAACACTCCCCCCTTCATGATAGGAAGAGACATCAGACCTATTGACTTAATACATTTTCCATAGTGAACACCACCCAATGGTTTAGTCATCATGTCTGCCAAATTATCTTCAGAAGAACAATGATGTAAACTAATCAATTTTCCTTTTACAGCTTCCCTGACATTACAATACTTAATGTATACATGTTTACTTCTGTTCTTCACCCTGTCACCAGTTGCCATTTTTATACAGGCAGCATTGTCTTCAAATACCTTTACAGATTCTTTTACATTAATATTTAAACCTTGCAACAACTGTACATACCATGTTACTTCAGAACACAATTCAGATAAAGCAATAAACTCTGCTTCTGCTGTTGAAATAGCAACAGTTGTTTGTTTTCTGGACTTCCATTCAATCAGAGTCCCTCCAAACAATATTATAATCCCAGAATTTGATTTCCTTGTGTTTATGTCATTTGCATAATCACTATCAACATAACACTTTAATTTCAATTCCTCAGTAATCTGTATTTGAAGACCCAAATTTATGGTTCCCTTTAAATATCTGAGAACCCTTTTTACACCCATCCAATGTAACTTTGTAGGTGCAGCAGTAAAATGACTCAAAATGCTTACTGCGCAAGCTATGTCTGGTCTGGACCATTGTGATAGATATAACAAACTCCCTATTGCTGAGTGATATATCTCTTGATCACAGGTTTCACCTTTGTCCGCACTTAAACTATTATAAAAATCCATACTCATGGGTGTGGGAGCAGTATTGCTATCTTTCATATTATATTTTTCCAATAACTGCTCAATTTTTCTCCTTTGACTGAGAATATAACCACCCTTTTCATTTTTCTGTATCTCTACACCGAGATAATTTTTTATTTCTCCCAAATTCTTTAATTCAAATTTTTTTCCTAATTTATCAGCAAATTCCTTGATTTGTGATGCATCCTTTGCGATGAAGCAAAGATCATCCACAAATGATAACAGTAGACAATTCTCTCCTTGTAACTGTCCAGTATATATACAATTATCAGCTTTGCAACTCTTAAATCCAAGACCCTTTAAAGCAGTATCTAGACAGATATTCCAGTTTCTGGCTGACTGCTTCAGCCCATAAATAGCCTTGTTTAATTTATACACCATGTTAGGTTTTGCAATTTCATACCCTGGTGCTTGGATCATATAAATTTCTTCCTCTAACTCAGCATTGAGGAATGCAGTTGTGATATCAAAGTGCCAGATTTTATGTTTATATGCT